TGGGGCGTTCCAGAAGCCCCCATGTGGCCACATCCAGAGTGTCACTCCTAGGGACCGAGCCTGACTGGCCCTTGGGAATCAATCGTACACCCAACCCCACATGACACGGATAAGGAGACTGAGATCCAAAGAGGGGCGAGGACAGGCTTCCAGGTCCCAGAGGCAGTCCTGGGTGGGTCAACCCCAGTGTCTCTGGTGGTCATTTCTCCGCCGTCTGGGTATAGGCTGCTGGGGCAGTTGCGGGCTGAGCACGAGATTAGGTCCTCTCTTCAGGAGGTCACGGGTACATGGGTGGGGAATGAAATGGGTCTGTGATGGGTGCTGAGAGATTCCCTCCCACCCCTGCACCCGAAGGGAGCAGGAGGGGCTCCAGGATGCTTTGGAGAGCATTGTCCACAGAGAATCAGGATGTAACTCTGGGGCGGCTTGGGGTCCCTGTGGGCTAAGGAGGGCCGCCTCCCTGGGAGCAGAAGTCCCCTGCTGACTAACTACATTCAGCAATGAAGAGCTGCAGGATGACTGACATGGTGGGGGAGGGGGTTGGGGACGGGCACACCAATACCTTCCTTGAAAGTGCATTTGGTCCTGAAGAGAGTATGATGACTCAGTTGGACTCCTAGCCCCTGAGAATAATAATAATAGCAAATCTTTGCAGAGGACTATGCTTCTGGCACTATTCTAGGTGCTGTGTTACACTAACTCATTTAATCCCTACAACCACCGTATGACGTAGGTATTATTATAATCTATTTTTCAGATGAAGAAACTGAAGCAAAGGGAGGTTCAATAATACGCTAGAGGTTGCACAGCAGGTAAGGGGCAGGACTGGGATTAGGACCAGGCAGTCTGGGTCTCCCATCTGTGCTCTTGACCATTATGCCACATTGCTTACTAGAAATGTTTCCCAAATAAATGAATGCAATGCTGTGAGACCCCTTTGGATATGGGGCACACCTTTCTAAATGTGGCTTGAATGTGAAATTGAGCTTATTGAGATCCTGGGTTCCAGCAGGATCCAGGGAGGCCTATTTCCTCCTGGACTGTGGAGTGTGGACGGCGCCTGGAACAGCAGGAAGGAGAGCTCTAGCCTGGGGTGTGTGGTATCCCAAGGGGACAGTGGCCTTGCAAGGACAAGGTCAGTGCACCGCCCTCACTCCTCTAAGGTGGGCACCAAGAGCTGTGGCTGGCCCTTGAGTGCACAGGTGAGACAGGATGAATGCCCCCCACACATGCCCCTCGCTCATCCTATAAACATTCGAGAGTGTTCTTTGTACCAGGCTTTGGGGAGGGACCCAGCGACTGATACACAGCCCCTGCCCTCAAGGCACTGCCCGCTGTCTCCCAGGGCAGAAGAGAAGAGCCGGGTGCCAGGTGCGAGGGTCCCCTGATAGAAAGGGAGCAGAGGCGCTGAAGGACTCAGGAGCAAACAAACATAGCTACAGGCCATGTGAGTCAGCTTTTTCTATCATCAGTCCCTTTTCAGGGCTTATTCTGTGCTTAGCTCGGCAGAGAGCTCGCCTGCCACCCCCCAGCCCAAGAGCTCACAATGGTTGGGGGATGAGCCTCCAGCACACTGGACCGCAAAAGGACCACACTTGACCCGAGAAGATGCGAATGGCTGCCAGGGAGAGGAGCAGCATCAGGAAATCCGCGGAGAAGATTCCCATGAGTGGGTGGGTGGCTGGGAGCTCTTTGCCAGGAGATGGGTGGGGATGGGCGAGGCTTTTCTGGGATATTCGGGCTTGCAGGATAAGTGCCCAGAGGTGTGATGCACCCAGGCAGGGTCTCTTAGGAGCACAAGGGTCTGTCTGCATGGGGAACAGAGGCTGTGAGTGTGAAAACATCGAGGGGGCGTCGCAGGAGGTGAGCTAGGCTAGCTGGTGCGGCGTCTGATTGACATTATCTGATTCACAAAGTCAGGAGTGCGTACCCCCATGCAAGACGGCAGAGCACTTTGAGAGCGTTTCAGAAAGCCTTGAACTGGTGCTAAATAAATAATCATACTGCTTATTCTGGGATGGAGAGGCAGGATGCCTCCTCTATGCGCTAATGGGAGGGCGAGGCTCTCTGCCTGGCTGGCTGAGGCTGCATCGTGCACATCGGTGAGCGCTGATCTGACAGACCCTGGATAGACCTTCTCTGTGTCCTGACTTTCATTTCCCACTTAGAGCACCTGCCTGCCTACTTGGAGAAGGGGGGCCGGGTTAATTGTTACCTCCTGTGCTGTTACTAGGTTACTTCGTAAAAGCGGAAATACGCTTTTAATGATTTTTGTTGTTCTTGTTGCTTTCTTATGAACCAGATGCTTTTATCTAAATGAGTTGCTACAAATCAAAAAAACAAAGAACAACAACAACAAAACCCCAAAAAACCCAACCCGTGAGCCTTGCTAGGCTGTGTCTGCCATACGCAGGCAACCCATCGCTCCGTGAGTGAGGTGTAAGCCCCCTACTCTTTCAGCACCCAGCTCACTTACAGGTCAGAGGGGCAGATGTACTGGCAGCTCTAATTAGCATGCCTCCAAGTGGCCTGGACGAGAGGACCCAGTGAGGCAGTGGAGTGGTCTCTGGCTGCTGATGGGGATTCTGTCGCCCGTTCAAGTTGGTGCTGGTGGACGACAGCATAGGTCTGCTCACCTCTTCAGGCCTCTTGGGTCACGGTGGGCGGGAGGAAGGACAGTTTTCTTTCTGGGTTACTTTTGGAGGACACTGAGGCCCAGAGGATGGTCACTCAATGCTGGGCTTGACACATAATAGGAGCTCAACTATCGTTTGTGGAAGACAGGCTGGTACATGATTGACATTTGCTCAGAGCTCTTTAGGTTTTGGTCTAAGGAGCGGCAGTTGCCAGGGAGGCAGGAGGGACCTCTGGATTACGACCAGGACAAAGGACTCTAGTTCCCCTTCTGCTCTGACTGGCTGTGTGAGCTTGGGCAAGACACTGGCCTTCTCTGGGCCTCAGCACTGGCTTGCTGCTTGGTGTAATAAGTGACAACAGTAATTCCTCTCTGTCTACCTCCTCGGGTCTCCCTCATGACCAAGTAAGGGGACCTGTGTGAAAATGCTTTGCAAATGAAAAGCACTAGGTCATGGGAGGGGGTAAAAGAAGTCCTATGACCTTAGCCTGGGATATTCTAATAAATTGGGGTTGGGGCAGTGGCTTCCCAGAGCATAGGCTGCCAGAGAGTCTCTGTTTTGGGGTCAGAGAATGCACTGGAAGCTTGGCTATGAGAGGGCTCTGTGAGCATGCAGCTATGTCTCCATTACCCAGGAGCATGGCTTTCGGAGGCTTAGCATGGCATTCAGTGCCCACCATGAGCACGACTTAGGTAACTTTGTAGCTGCATAGGTCTCCCATAGTACCTAGGCGCTGAGCTCTCCTGTCTTTTTGTATCTTGAGACTTTTTGCACAAGCTCTTCCCATTGCCCGAACAGTCCCTGTGTGCACACACACACACACATACAGACTTTATTTCCGGTTTAAAGCCGCCTCTTCTTGGAAGCCTGTAGTTTTGATCGAATTAAGTTAGCGGCTGAGTACTCTCATCCCCTCAAATGGAATCTCCGGGTCAGGGATTTGGTCTCATATGGTCACTGTCATATCCCCACTGCCTAGAATGATGCATGGCATAGTAGGGGCTCAAGAAATATTTGTTGAATGAATGAATTGTTCTTCCATAGCACTTTGTATAAATTCCTATTGTTGCATTTATCACATCTTATTATAACAATGTAGTCACTCTCTGATCTCCCCACTGGGCTGCCAGCAACCTGAGGACAGGGCTTTTGTCTGATCTCTCCGGACCCTGGCCCTAGAACAGTATGCAATGTGGCTGCCAGTAAGCGCTTGAAGGGATCCAGGAACAAATGTTGGAATGCCCTTCATTTTAGCACGTACAGGCTGTTATGTCTGCACGGTCATGCTGCGTGTGCACATGAGAGGGAGGGCGAGAGAGAGAGAAGGCTAGAGAGAAAGAGAGAATTTATGATTGAAGACAAAAGCTTAAAAGTTCTTTTGAGTGACCTGTGAATACATGAGATGATCAAGAAGGGACAGAAACACAGTAGTTCAGGAGCATCCTTGCACGGTCACTGGACAGACGTATGCATGGTGCTTTCCCTGAGCAGGGCTCTGGTGGTGGGGCCATTACTAGCCTACTTGGTATTTCTGTCCTAACGAGATTTCTGTGCACACTAAAATTGTGTGCAAATTGGCGTACCTCCCTCTGAGAACTCATAGTGCACAGCAGAGCTTGCAAGGTGCAGGCTGGGTCAGTCCCTACACCCCCTGGGCCAGATGCCCTCCTGTAGGGCACAAAAACAACTGTTCCCAGCAGCTTCGGCCACTAGGGCACATTCAAGGTAAGGAAGGAGACAGGTCGCTTGGAAAATCAAACTTGGCCACAAAAATAAACTCTGAGGTTTGCAGATAAGCTATTTCTAGCCCAGGTGCCAAATGAGGTTTTGCAGCTAGAGTGAACCGCCGTGTGCACCCCACCCCAGCCCTGTTAACTAATGGGAACTGCACCACGTATTTGCTGTTTCCCGAACAACTTTGCTTCCAGAAAGGGGAAAAGATGCCACTTCTGGGGCATCTCTTGCCTTTGATCAATGACCTCAACATGTCGTTCATCAAGGGGCCGAGTCTCGCAGACCGAGGGGAGCAGACCAGGGAGGCATGGCCACTCTCCTGGACATGGTGACACCCCCACCCCCCTGCCAGTCCCCTCTCTGCCCCGGTCCCAATCAGCACACAGGCGCTGCGAACCCACTGAGCCTTGTTCAGGGCTTGGACAGCTCTTGGCAGAACAGGGGGCGCTGACCCCATCGTGGGATTCCCAGAACGGGGGGCGCTGACCCGGAACCTGTGGGTAGGGAAGGGGTCTCTGACCCTCTCTCCTCAGAGGCCTGAGCTGGGAGCCCTGCCAGAGAAAAGCAGGGGGCTTTCTATTCCATTCCATTCACCTCACCCAGTTCCAGGAAGGACAGAAGGTAACTTACAGGGATGCATGTAAGGAGACGAGGTGAATCCAAAGCAGGAGATGGACCGCTGAATGTAGGAGCAGGAAATGATGCAGGCACTGCTGCCTCCCTGAAACCAGATCTAGAAAGTTCCATATGTATGTTACAGGTGGGTCACAGATTTGCCTCCAGGTTTGGCAATGCCTCTGACCGTGGTCTCCCACTGGAATCGCCCGGGGAGCCTCACAAAAATACTAATACCTGGGTCCCATCCCAAGAGATTTTGATCTAACTGATCTGGTGTATCTAGCCTGGATATCAGAATTTTTAAAAATGTCCCCAGGTGATTTGAATATGCAGCCAGAGCTGAGAGCCGCTGTTGTGACTCGGAAGAGGCAAACAAGAAGCTGATGTTACAACAGGATTTGATTTGAGCTACTATGACAAGGCTGGGGAGAAGAATATGTCTGTGCTGAAATCAGGGGCATTTCTCCCAAGGGGCCCAGCAATGGGATCACAGGGACAGGATAAACATTAATCACCACAAAATCCTGAATATGAGCACATTGGTACGATCGATTGGAGAAGAAGATCTTCTAACAGCCCGAAAGCATTCCGGGGGTGGGTGGGATGAATGGAATTGACAGCGTGACGACCAAAGTACCCAGGCTTTCGGATGGTGAGATCCAGGGGATAGATTAGATTTTAGAATATCTGAAAGAGTAAATAAATGACCTATCATCCAGGAATGTCATTTTGCTGAATCTCCATAACTTCCATGTCAATTCAAGGCTTAGAGTCCAGGAATTTGGTAACATCTGTGAGTTGAGAGCAGTGTTAAGGCTTTAAAGTACATTGACGCCTATCCTCACAAGAACAGTTAAATTAGAAGGTCTGGGGGTACAACCAGGTGTCTGTAGGTTTTAAAGCTCTCCAGGTGATTCCAGCGTTCACTGAGAGCTGACATCGCTGGCCCAGGAAGACCTGCCAGTGTTCTCCCGGGAACTAGGAAGGTCAGGGGTTGCCCTCAGCGAAAGCAGACGAGATGGGGACTCAGCAGCCCTACGGGGCTCACACAGAGTTAGTGCAGAGTTGGGATGAGAGCCCAGTGGCTGCCTCCCAGTCCGGGGGCCTGTCCGTCCACTGCCTATGAGGTCACTCTGTCCTGTGGCCCTGTGATCTCGGAACTAAGATCATCTAATCTCACGATGTGGAGACAAGAGGACAGTCCCTGTCTTTAAGAAGCTCACGGTCCAGGAAGGAAGGTGAGCAATGCAGCCCAGGGAGGGGCGAGTGGCAAGGTCCCCAAAGGCTGCAGAGCATGAGGCGGCTTTGTGTTGGCCAAGCTGAGTCTGGGATGCAAATCAGACAGGTCGTGACTGATTTTCAGGACTCTGGAGAGACAGTCAGGATCTTAGGACAGAATGAAGCCCTGGGGACAGGTGAAGCAGAGGGAGTAGAGGGACCGCTGAGAGAAAGGAAAGCAGAGGAAAATCTTCTAGCACCAACACCTTCACTTACAGAGAGGAGGACAAAGAGGGGCCACAAAGATGGAGTGACACGGCCCACCAAGCCAAGGGAGAGAGAGAGAGGCTCACGGTCTCCTTAAAGCAAGCAGGGAGGTCACTTGCTGACCCTCAGGTGGAGAGGGCAGGCGGAAGTCTTGGTGATGATGGGAAAGGTGGGACTCTGCAGAAGGATCTGTGCGCAGGTGTTGGCGTGGTTCTACGGCCTCCTCAGCAGGCTGAGGGCCCAGATGCCCAGTGGAGGTGGGGGCTGCCAAGGTTCCCAGGGTGGGGCCGGGAGAGGAAGCAAGGACGAAGGACAAGCAGGCGACAGAGTGGATGTGTTAGGGAAGGGAGCACTGAGAAGTCTGCCCACAGGTCTGTCTTTGGGTGGGAGCCATGGAAGCCAAAGAGATGGATGAGAAAGAGAAGGAGGGAATGGAGCAAGGCTGCCGAGAGTGAGGGAGCACGAGGGCGGGGGGAGTGCGGGTCGGCAAGGGCACCTTGGGAATGGCTTCACCGGTGAAGCTGCCGAGAGTGCGGAAGTCCAGGGCACGGCACGGTTGTGTTATTATTTGCAGCGTTCTCTAATGGAAGGGTTCCAAGTCCCATTAGCTCTGGAGGCATCTGCAATGTCCTCTCAGGATGCAGGGTATGCAGGGGGACAAGGGGCCTGGGTGGGCAGTGCTGGGGCAGGGATGCCTCCACTGGGCATCACGGGGAGGCTGCAGAGGGGCACTCCTCAGCACTGTGTTTGCCTTTCACCACCTCCAAAGTCTAGGTGTCTATTACTGTCATTCCTGGCTCAGCCTTGGGTTCTGCACAAACCAGGTCCTCAGCTCTACCTCCCCTGAGCTCCACCCCTGCCAGGCTCCCACACTGCAGTGCAGGGATCAGATTTCACTCCTGCTAACTGGTCCTGGCACCACACTCTTGGTCACTGACAAGCCCAGCACAGCCTTCTCTGCTTTGCATCCGAGCAGGCCCCACTTTGCAGCAGGATGCACACAGCCCAGTGATCTGGCCCAGTTTCCATAGGAAAGTGATAGCTTCTTCCACTGGTCACCAGGGGACAGACTGGGCTGTGGAGACTTCCTATCTTCTTGGGAATCAATGGAGTCCTTCACGTGAGGGAAAAGGGAAAACACGACCTGGCAGTGGGCCACGTGCTACGGTGTTCCCAGGAATAGTTGCAACTATGTGTGTGGGGAGGTGCTCCCTGAGAGCCCCAGCAGGTGCTGTGCGGGCGTGGTGAAGGGGATATGGAGATGAATCAGATGGGATTCCCATCCCCCCAGAACTGGCCAGGTGGTAGGGAAGACTGACGTTGAGTTTGCAGCGGGGACACCAGTCCAGGGGTGGATCTATCAGGTATCCTATCAAGGTCCCTCCCTATCCTAAAATATATGCTTCTTGAAGCCTGGGATAAATAAGAGCCATGTGCCACCCTGTGTCAGAAGATCCCAAGATAAAGGCCATCAAACCCATTCCCCTGGGTCTCTAGATGTCCTTCACCCCCGCCACACTCATAGCATCTAAGACTGGAGAGCTTCTGCTTGGAAAGTTGACTTCTGTGAAGAGCATGCCTTAGGCTCAGACACTCACTTCCACATCTGCCCCCTCTAGGAGCTGGGAATGCCACCATCATGAGATCCAAAAGGCCACTGTCACCAGATCTGTCTAGTTTTCCAATTCTCTTCCTCTCGCCCGACAGTCACAGAAGCAAACGTTACCCAGGGCCTGGGACGACTAACCAGGACGGCTGTCCCGCGGCTCAGTGGTGCCGTTAGATTCATGCCAACAGCCCACCAGCTTCCAAAGCTGGAAACCCAACTGCCCCCACTGGCTGCCGCCATTTGGCTGCTCGGTGGTGGCAGGCTGGATGCCCAGTGAACGTTTCTTCCACTTGGGCAGCTGATCCAGGCCCAGCCTGGAGCCTCCTCCTACTTCTTGCTGACAATCATGGCTACCTGCAATTCGGAATCCTAGAGCTGCAGAATCCTGGGGAGCATCCATCTCCAGGGTCCCCTGCTTCTGCAGGCACAGTCCAGGTCTGCTGGGTGGGTGTTCAAGCAATCTTACCAATTCTTTTCAAGTAGGCCACGTTCCCCCGCAACTCTCCTGGCTACCTGGTCTTTATAATCTAGGTTTGAAAATCCTGAACCAAAATTTGAGGCCAGAACTCTATACATTTAATCCAAGGAAATAATCAAATCACTATGCAAAGATATATATGCAAAAATGTTTGTTGTGTTATTATTTGCAGGAGTAAAATTTAAAAATATGCTAATGTCCACCATTAGGGCACTGGGTAAGTAAATTGTGTAGATTATTATATCCAGATGTTATGGAGAGTTTAAAGATGCTATAGATTTGCACTTACTGATATAAAAATGTACATGTGACATATCATGAAGTCAAAAGAGCGCATTGCTAAGCCATACATATAGTGTGATCCCGTGTGTGTGCGTGTGTGCCCGTATGCATGTACGCTTTACGTATGTGCATAGAAAGAAAGTCTGGAAAGGGACACTAAATGGATGATTGTAAGTAATTTCTATAATTTTAGGTACTATCTTTTAAAATATTTTTACAGTGAACAAATAGCCTTTTACTGATATTGAATACTACTACTTTAATAACAAGAAAAGTTAAATTACCAAGGAAGCATTACAGTTTTTGAGGCATTTAAAGGTCACCCAGTTGCTGGCTGCCCCCAGGTTCCCCCTCCCGGGGAGCCAGAAGAGCTACCACAATGCTCATAGATTGATTCCAGGAAGATTGGGGCCTGGTGGCTTTGCTAGGTTCTAATCCCACATCTGTGTAAAAATCTCTCTAACCAAAAGGCGGAGAGGACCAGCTATGTACTTCCTCACTGCCCCTGGAAAATCAGCATTAGAGAAGATAGCTGTCAGTGCCCAGGTCGGACGCTTTTCTTATATGCAGGAGAGCTGAGCAGGGACGTACCTTTTGATGTCCGTCTCTGGCGAGCTCAGGATTTGTCCCCAGGATGCAAAAGCCTCGATGGCCACCAACACTTAGCACAGTGTGAGCATCACCAGGAGGCCAGACCGTCTAGAAAGAGAAGGAAAAGGTTGGGGGTGGGGTGGGAAAAGGTATCATCTTCTGCAGAAAATCTCTTTGGAATTCCAGTATCTTAGACAGTCCCCACCCTAAGTGGACAATAGTCCCTGTGTTGAATTTCTGAGTGTGGACCCTCTCAAACGGGGTGTGCCCAAACACTGCCATGGGCACTCTCAGGCAAGGGGGGCCAAGTGGGCTGCAGAGAATCCCAAGGGGCAGACCCTAGATGTCCCTCCCCTGCCCGCCAAACACACAAAGCCCTAATCCCCACAGCAAAGCCACTAGCAGTGGATAAGGGAGAATAATGGCATTGCCTTCCATCTGATTCAAACCAAGAGACTCCAAAAACGGGGAAAAATACGAAATTTAGGTCTTTAATCTAATGCTGAAAAGAGAACAGGACACAAACTCTAGAATTACAAAAACAAATCATTACTTCTTTTAGATAATGGGCAAGAAGACCTTGAGGAGGCAAGGATGGGTTCCCTGGAGAGAATTCATTTTTTAAAAAAAATATAGATTTAATACCTAGTATAAAGAGCCTATCTGTTATGGTGAGGCAGGGCTATTCTCAGTTCCCTCTTTCAAATGTAATATATGTGAAAGCCGTCTTCACGACAAGGAATGGCAAAAATGCACGGCTGTCATTACCTGGGAATCAATATATTTTTCTAAACTGAATATATCATTATCAATTGATTTTCCTGTTTCCTCTTAGCACTCCAGAGTCCTGGATAGCAGGGGAAAGCTTTAATGTGATATGAGGGATTTGGACAGGTAAATAAGTTATTGTAAACTAATTCCACCTTGCGACAAGCTTCTCTCCAACAACGCAACGGGTCTTTCTCAGAGCCTCTTTCAACCCAAGCTTTTCCAGCTACCGCTGACAGAGACACATGCGAGCCGTATCAAATAGCCATTTTCAAGCTGAAGGTGGCAAAAATATTATTTTTCCCAAGGAGAGAGCATTCCCTTTACGATTAAGAAATAACCTCTGTGGGGAAGCGAAGTAAGCCAAGGTCACCATTTAATTTTGACACAGAGCCAAAGTCGTGAGTACATTTCCTCTACCAAGCTGATGTGAAGCATGCGGATAAATGGATCGCTTTGGCCACAAAGTATTGACAGTACTGGTGATAATAAACGATCGATGTATTTCTGGGAAAGACCCTTGGCAGATATGTGTTGGTGAAGAGAGAGGTCTGGGAGACAGCGGTCAGATTGTTTTTATTTTATTTTTATTTTTATTTATTTATTTATTTATTTTTAAAGATTTTATTTATTTATTTGAGACAGAGAGAATGAGAGAGACAGAGAGCACATGAGAGGGGGGAGGGTCAGAGGGAGAAGCAGGCTCCCTGCCGAGCAGGGAGCCCGATGCAGGACTCGATCCTGGGACTCCAGGATCATGACCTGAGCCGAAGGCAGTGGCTCAACCAACTGAGCCACCCAGGCGCCCCAGATTGTTTTTAGATCTTTGAGAATTTTATTCATTCATTTACTCATTTATTCATTCCGTAAATATTTGTTGAGTGTCTGCTGTGTGTCAGGCAATGTTCTAGGCACTGGGGATACATAAGTGAACCAAACAGAAAGAAAAAAAGAATTCCTGCCCTAAGGGAGTTCATCTTCTAGTGGAGGGAAACATAGAATAAACAATAAGCTTAAGAAATAAGTACAAATTATACAGTATATTAAAAGGTAGGCAGTGCTATGTCTTAGAGAAGACAGAGCAGAAGATGAGTGTCAGGGGACTGAGCTCATGTGAAGGGGATGAGGGAGTGGGCCGTGCGGGAGTCTGGGGTTGAGCGTTCAGCAGTGAGAAGAGCCAGTGCAAATGTCCTGGGGGGTGGAGGGAGCATACCTGTCATGCTCCTGGGCCAGCAAGGAGCCCACTGTGGCTGGAGAGTCTAGTAGGGACAGGGAGGGTCTAGTAGGACATTCAGCTGGAGAGGTGAGTAGATCGCGTAGGGCCTTGCAGGCCACTGTAAAGGCTACTAACTGAGAGCCCCAGATCCTGGCACCCGGCTTTAGATGGAGCTCTCATTCTCTTGAGACAGACCTCCCAGGTCTGTCAGCTCAATCTGCTTGCCATCCCTTCTGCCCAGATGGCTCAGCACTCTAGGCTGTGCGAGATGAACAGGGCACAGGCCAGGCTGGGGCTTGGAGGGGCAGCGGAAGGAGGTGAGCCCCCAGGGCTGCCCAGCTTGTTCTGATGACAATGGTCTTGTCTTTCCTCCTCTGTGGTCCCCAGAGGCCACTTCTAGAAGAGGTAACTGAACCAAAGTCCTGAACAAAAATATACTGCATGCGAGGCTGAGCTCTTTGGGACTTTTCCCTAACATGCTTATGGAGAGATCCTGACATGAGCTGACGCATTAGACATTACAGGTTGTGCTAGGTGTCCTGCCCAGGTCTGCCTTCCATGCTGTGTGCCCCCAGGGGGCTCGCCTGATCTGCACGGAGGGCATCACTGGAGCTCGCAGACCCTGAGACTCCTGGTCAGGTGCAGCCAGTGCGGACACCAGCAGGAGACTGGGGACTGGCGTGGGATTGGGTGTTTACTCCCCTACTTGCCTCCCTCCTTACAGTGGCTTCCACTGCAGGCCACGGGTGCGGCTGGTGTGCGGTAGGCCTCACAGAGCGTCCTCTCTGCGCCCCAGCTTCCAGCTGGAAACGGCCCCACCCCGTGTGGGCTGGGGACGGCCCTGGCCTGGTCTCTGCAGCCCGCGCTACATCTTATGAACAGCCCTGACTCTCTTCCAACCACACATTTCGACCTGCCGATTTCCTGTTAAGACCCTAGAGGGTACAGTCTTGGGAGCAGTGCAGAGCAGGGCTTGGGAATCCGGGATCAGGCGGAATCCTAACACTGCCCCTAGTTTTGTTACACAGGTTAAGGTATTTAATGTCTATGAACCTTCCTTCCTCACTCTTGGAACTAGAGAAACGGACGCATAATTAGCAGCAACAGGATCACTGTCTCAGCATTTACGCCACCTACTCTACCGCCCAGGGCAAGGAGCACCTCCTGGCTGACATCTTTGCCCACCCCAACCAGAAACTCCTCCCTCGAGGGGTTTTAGCTGTTCTCAGCTCCTATTTGGCATCAGTTGATGTCTCAGGGATTTCACTTATTTCCTTTTGCACTTCTATCCACCCAACCTCTCCTCCTTGCAGTCAAATCCCAGGCATCCAAAGAACAGACATTATCTTAATATTTGAATCTCTGGTCCACAGCACCCATCAAGAACGAACCCAGGAAAGGACAGGGAGACAGCTATGGTTTTCCATCTCCAGGTGAGGGGAAGGCACTGTAGGCAGGTTTGACTTTGACATTTGTGGTCAAACTGACCCTTTCTCTTCCACTCATTTCATCACCAAAGGGCAGCTTCCAGGGTCAAGGAAAATAAAATTAAAAAGCCAAGGGATGAGGGGCTTTTTATATTCATTTAAAAAACACAGTGGGTAGTTAGTCAATGCGTGTGAAAGGGGTCTTACATTGTCCCCACCTTGTCAAGGCACTTAAGACATGCTAATTGAGTTTGGCAGAGCATAAAAGGCCAATATGAAATTCCCTCTAATGGGGTCTTTGGGTTAAATAACTGCTGAATGATGGGAGATCTTTAAAATTAAACCTAAAGAAATGTTTGAGACCATTCTCACTCTAAATCTATAAATAAAGATGGCTCCTGACATGCACCAAATTGATAGCCAAGAGAATTACAAATAAGGGCCCCAGGATTTTTTTTTTTTACTTCCCTATAAAAGATACCAATTTTTGGAGAGAAATTGCCGTTAAGAGAGGATAAACCAATTAAGGAGGCTCCCATTTGATGCAGGATCAGAGACTAGCCCTGCCCGGGTCTTGACCAGGCTACCCAATTATTGCTCCAGCAACCAGGCAGCTCACCAGCCCTCACCCAACTGGGAAGCAAGGATTCTTTCTTCCTCAGAAGGAAAAAGCAAAGCAACTAGAGGTTGCAAACTGTGGAAGAAAAACAACTCCCACACCCACACCCAATTTCCTGTCAGCCCAGACTCAGGACCCTGTGCGCCACCCCCCTCCCCCCCCCCGCTGCCTTCCCTGGCATGGGGCTTTTGGGTCTGCTCTGAATGTATCCTGCAAGGGGAACTCTCATTCACATTAAGAAGGAAAAAACAACCCATCCATTAATAACATCAACCATGGGTTCACCAAAGCCCTCAGGCATCTTGCCAACCCCAAAATAAACACTCTCAAAAGGTTTATCCATCAGGTTGGCGACAGTTCACAGGCTGAGGGGTCCGGAAGGCACTGCTTTTAAAGAAGAGAATGGACACGCAGAGATGGAGTGCCTTGTGAGGACCCACCCAACACAAGGCGGAGGTTTCCTCTTTCCATTAAGGAGCCAGAACCGGCCACTGATGAGATCCATTACTTATTCTCAAAGCTAAGGATGCACTGGCTGGCCAGTTTTCATGCAGGCATGGGTTCTTCAGAGAAAGAGGGGATCTTCAGGGGCCAGGACTCCTGACTGAGATGGAAAAACAAAATTTTCATAATGCTTGAAGTTTACAAAGCCTCGCTCATGTGCATTTCCTGATTTACCTTTGCTCAGAAGTTTGTATGAGTGGATTACTATTATTATTCCTATTTTATAGATGGAAAATAAGAACAGCCCAAAGTTACATGGCAGATACATAAGCAAGGGACTCAGAATTGGAACTCTAGATTTGCACTTTGCATCCCATGCTTTGTTCCAAATTCTTCAGCTGCCATGATCCTGGAGCCCTGATGGATGATAAGATTAGAGTTGTCCTGGGTTCACTCTGCAGTCCCCACCCCTGGGCTGGATAAAAATACAGGTGTCAGTGGATATCCTCGTTCCAGTCTGGTCCCGGTGAGCCCAAACCAACCCTAAGACCCGACTGGCTGCTGCCCCCCTCCCCCTCTCCCGCTTCTCCGCAGCCCTAGTGGTGGTCAGGTTCCCAAGTGACCCCCTCCCTTC